GCATCCTTCTGTGTGGACCCCCGTGTCCCACAGCATCCTTCTGTGTGGACCCCCGTGTCTCACAGCATCCTTCTGTGTGGACCCCCGTGTCCCACGGCATCCTTCTGTGTGGACCCCCGTGTCCCACGGCATACTTCTGTGTGGATCACATGTCCCACGGCATCCTTCTGTGTGGACCCCCGTGTCCCACGGCATCCTTCTGTGTGGACCCCCGTGTCCCACGGCATCCTTCTGTGTGGACCCCCGTGTCCCACGGCATCCTTCTGTGTGGATCCCATGTACCACAGCATCCTTCTGTGTGGACCCCCGTGTCCCACGGCATCCTTCTGTGTGGACCCCTCCTGTCTCTGCCCCTGGACTTGACGCTTTGCTGTTTTTCTCCTCCAGGCCCTTTGCCATTGTGACCTCAATTGCTTCAGCATCCACAAGCCTAACACAGCCTTCATTACAGCCTCCCTTTCTGCCGCTTCCCCAAACCCTCCTGGCTTTTCTAGATAAACATTTAGGTCAGCTTAATTTAAAACAAAATTAGAGGTTATAACTGGAATTGTATCACAAACTCTAAAAAACCTGGCCATTAAAAGCTGTAAGAGTTCTAGAATAGCCCTTTTAACCACTTAAGAAACAAAGAGGCTGGACAGAGTTTCCCCACATCCCTCTTCCTCTCCAGTCTCCTGTGGGTCATGTCACTGCTCAGGATCACTCTCCTTGTCTAAATATTTACCAGGGCTCCTGCTTTGTGTCAGCTGAATCTTCCACTTCCTTCCTGCCTGCTGCCCAGGTTCAGCCTCTGTTCTCGCCTGCTCCAGAGGGTCAACAACCGCTTGGTCTCATCCCGGTTTCTCCCAGGGCTCTTGCCCCCAAGTCATTCTGATTACTGATTAAAGGTCCTGAACCACCCCATCCAGCCCCTCCCAGTCTTACAGTCCTCACCGGTGGCTCCATCTTGAGGATAAAGTACAACCTTCAGGATTAACCCTATTCAGGCCCCACCTCAGCTGCCCAGCCCTCTCATTGCCCCAAGCTCCTCCGCTAGTAACCAGCCTTGCCAGATGTGGGGAACCCACTGGCCCATTCGATCACCATCCCCACCCTGCGCTCCCCACATCCTCCTGCCCCAGCCTCACCAGGCAGCCTACTTGACTATGAGACCCAGAGAGTCAACCTGTTTCCAGATCCTTGTTTCCAAAACTTGTTTCTAGATCCTCTACCTGCTCACATGGTAGCCAGGAGGTATGAGAATTAGTGTATCATGTGAGGCAATGTTTCAGAGGCCGAGTAATACTGATACTTTGATTCCTGTGGAGGGCTGAACTGTGGAGAGTGTACTGTGGGGTCTGTACTGTGGGGGGGTCTGTACTGTGGGAGGCTGTACTGTGGGGGGCTGAACTGTGGGGTCTGTACTGTGGGGTCTGTACTGTGGGGGGGTCTGTACTGTGGGAGGCTGTACAGTGGGAGGCTGTACTGTGGGGTCTGTACTGTGGAGGGCTGTATTGTGGGGGGCTGTACTGTGGGGGGGCTGAACTGTGGGGTCTGTACTGTGGAGGGCTGTACTGTGGGATCTGTACTGTGGGATCTGTACTGTGGGGGTCTGTACTGTGGGATCTGTACTGTGGAGGGTTGTAATGTACCTTGCAAGTGGTCTAGTGGCCTCTTTAAAACCTGCCCATTAGACGCCAAGGGCAGGCAACCTCCAGCGTGGCCATTCAAATTGTCTTCAGACACGCCAAATACCTCCTGGGCTAAGGACCTCTGGTGTAAGGTGACTTTTCTCCCACCAGCTCCACTCTCTAAATATGAAGTGCTTGGAGCTAGATGCGGCAGCCACCTGCTGCCGCTAACCACAGAATGCACCAGGCATCTCTGGACACCTGCAGTTGCTAATACTCTGGCTCAGAGCATCTGAAACGGAGCTATCCTTAGCCTAAGGACCTGGCCACATCAGCTCCCCACTGCACACGACAGCATCCCCTCGCTTAGGAGGCATCTATTTTGGAAGAAGCCACCGGGAGCCCCACATTTCCGAAATGGTTAATTGTGATGTAGAAGACAAGATAAAACTGGCTTGATCTTTTCCCTCCTAGAAGCACACAGGCCACTCTGTTCTCAGTAGTTTGGAGGCAGAAGGCGAGAGCTCAGCTCCGTCCGACGCCTAACACTTCCAAAAGCAGTTCAACACCGGGCAGACAAGTTCCCAGGCTCATGCAAGTCAAGCCCACTCCTCACAGCAGCCACCCCTGTGCAGAGCTGAGAGCTCTCGTGGGGAGTATGTGAACACTCCAGGGGAATTGTGGGGCTTGGGTTATATGGGTACCACCTTGAACGCTGGAAACACAAATGAATGTCCCAGATCCTAGCGTCCCAGTTTGAATGTGTCTTGAGGCTGGGGTGGATAGAGGACCAGGCTCCGGTTTGTCTCCTGGGCTAAATGTTCATGTCTCACGGTAGCTCGCTGATTCCTTGGGAGAACTGACCTTCTCCAAGGCCTCAGCCATTATGAACATAGGGCCAGCCATCCTCTCATGCTGGCCAGATGTGAACCGGCTCTCTTGAGCTCCCCCAGTTGTCCTGACTTCCCTCTGGGGGTACACATGTCCTGCTTTAACTCCTCCAGGGGGCCCCGTGACTCACCTCTCAGGAGCTGGGCTGCAGTCGGAGGGTAAGAGAAGCAGGCAGAGGAGATGCTGTAATTGGTCTGCAGGAGCTCCAGAAGGTCTGCTGTGTACCTGGAGAGACACGGGTTTGCTCAGACCCAGGCAGCTGGGGAAGGGGTGTGGCAGACTACACCGTCTGATGCACATCGAACCCTCCTGAGTGCAAGGAGCTGGTCCATTGTTCCTCGAGGCCCTGGAGAACTGACTTAGGTTAGAGTATAAGACAAGCTGCCAGGGAGGATGAGCAGGGTCCAAGGGAAAGAGGGGCCCCTTAGCCAGGCATGGTAATGCAGGCTTGTAACCCCAGCACCGGGAGGGAGGCTGAGGCAGGAGGATCTCAGTTTGAGACCAGCTTCAAGTACAAAGTGACATGATAGGACTCTATCAGAAAAGAAAGGAAGAAAAAGGAAGGAAGAGAAAAAAGAAAGAGAAAGGAAGGAAGGAAGGGAGGGAGGGAGGGAGGGAGGAAGGAAGGAAGGAAGGAAGGAAGGAAGGAAGGAAGGAAGGAAGGAAGGAAGGAAGGAAGGAAAGAAGAGGGTCCCACAGCACCAGGACGGGCCTGCCCACGGTTGGTCAGCGGCTCTGTGCATGTCCAGGAATGCCTTCTGCAGCCCCATCCAATCCCAGCTTCCCTGAAGCCCGGGGGACTCACAGGCACTTTTCAATCTTATCTTGTTCTGAGTGCTGGAAAGCAAAGGGGCCCTGTGAGGGAGCCAGGGAGGGACAGGCCAGAGAGATAGGGGAGGCTGCTGTTTCTTAGCAACTGGCTCCCGGCCCAAGACCTGCAGCGCTCACTTACCTGGGGTCAAGTCTTATCTGAGTCCTGCCGGGCTCCATCCTTCTGTTCTCTCGGGCAGACGCTGAGGGTGAGGAGGGCCAGGCAGGGCCGGCAGACGGGAGCCCTGAAGAGTGGGGAGGTTTCTGTCCCGCACTGCGGCGCTAATGGCCTTGTTCGCTGGGTGAGGACTGAGGAGAAAGTGGACAGTCTCCCCTGCTCTCTCTACCTCCGGAAGCCTCCAGTGTCAGCCTTTTATCTCGGAGTTCACCCCGAGGAATTTGATCCTCTGTGTTGACGGAGTTACTCCTCCCTGCAGGTTAGGCTTGGTCCCTCCCACCTCCCTCAGACCGATACTTTGATCACTCCGTGTCCCTGGACTACCCAACCCTTCCAACTTCATACTCCCTGAAGGAGCCTTCTAAGGCTCACCGGATCCAAGAGAGAAATGTCCCCCGTCAGGCCCAGGAGAGGGGAACAAAGTCCTCGTTTGGTCAGTAACTCCCGGTGATTCAGGCAGAAGCATAGGCTCTGGTCCCTTGGAAACAGAGACTCGGGTCTGTGGCTTGGCCCGCAGTGGGGAAAGATCAGAGGAGGCCCGTGAACGGCTGCTGCTGCTGCTGCTGCTGCTGCTTTTTAGGCAGAGTCTTGCAATGTAGTGCTGACTAACCTGGAATTTGTTATATTGATCAGGCTAGCCTCGAACTCACAGAGATCCGCCTGCCTCTGCCTCCCGAGTGCTGGGATTAAAGCCGTGCGCCACCATCGCCGGGCTCAGGGTTTGCTTCTTAAAGGTCAGCCCACGTTGGGCTGAGAACCGGCTTAGTGACACCTGGACCCGAAGAGCAAGCCAAGCCGAGGCTGCATTGCATCTGTCAGAGCGCCCAGGTTTCTGTCCACATTGACCGGGTTTCTTTTAAAAGGCTGAATTAGGGCTGAGGGGACGGCTTGGTCTGTAAGTACGCACCCTCGGAAGAAAGGACCTGAATCTGACCCTCAACACCCACATAAAAATGCTGGATGTGGCAGCATGTGCATGTAACCCTCTGTCTGGGGAGTGGAGCCGGGAGGACTCCTGGGGCTTGCTGGCCATCCAATCTAGCTGAATTGGTGAGCTCTGGGTTCAGTGAGAGACCCCATTTAAAAAAAAATAAGATGGAGCCAGGCGGTGGTGGCACACGCCTTTAATCCCAGCACTCAGGAGGCAGAGGCAGGCAGATATGAGTTCGAGGCCAGCCTGATCAGAGTGAGTTCCAGGACAGCCAGGGCTACCTAGAGAAATCCTCTCTCAAACAAACAAGATGGAGAGTGATTGAGGAAGACAGCCCACACTAACCTCTGCCTCCAGAGGCATGCACACCCCCACTCACACCATCTCCCACTCACATCCACACCCCCCACACCCTTACTCCAAGTTTTATGCTTAAGAGCTTCTTTATTGGGCTGGAGAGATGGCTCAGCAGCTAAGAGTACAGGCTGCTCTTCCAGAGGACCTGAGTTCAATTCCCAGCATCCGCATTGTAGCTCACAACCACCTATAGCGGGATCTGATGCCCTCTTCTGGCCTGCAGGTGCACATGCAGATAGAGCACTCACACATTAAAGAATACATAACTAGGGGCTGGAGAGATGGCTCAGTGGTTAAGAGCACCCTCAGCTCCCAGCACCCACATGGCAGATAACTGTCTGTAACTCCAAGACCTGACACCCTCACACAGACATGCATGCAGGCAAAAACACCAATGCACATAAAATTTAAAAAAAATACATGAATAAATT